TAGGGAAAAGTATATATGATCACCATGGTAAGTTTACCCTCCACTAAAGACAAATTTATTTTTGATCGTTATGAGAGATAATCTTAGCAAAATAAAAGTACGAATATAACATGAAAAAACAATAAATACCGAATTCACTATAAATATATGTTTGACATAAAAAAGCATAAGAAATCTGTAATAACATGATTAATTGTTATGAACTACGTACTTGATTTGACATGAAAAAATCACACGAAACCTATTTGACATGAAAAAATCAAACAAAACCTATAATAACCTAATTGTTTATAATTTTATGAAATACGTACCTCAATTAGCGAAAATTTCTTATGAAACCTGTAAAAAACCTACAAACAACCTGATTAGTCATAAATATGTATATGACATGGAAAATCGCATCAAACCTAAAAATACCACACATGTACTTAATGGAGACCGAGTTGAGTCAACTACAAGAAACAAAACCAGTTAGGTTTCAAAACCATGGGCAATACCGGTAGAAAATTTATTGATTCAAATAAATATTATCAGATTTAACATCTAACCACCAAGTAAACGTACCAGTCCCTAAACATCTATAAAATTCTAACTAGGGAAAATTATGAGTAAGAAAAGTAAAGATATTGGTGAATCTTCATCTGCACCATTATCAAAGGTAAGAATATTTAAAATTATTTTGATATACAATAGACATGTTTATATTAATATTAATTTACTATGTTTTTTTTATCAGCGTAGAAGGATTACTAAACATAAACAAGCCTTTGAAGAATGGATTACCTATATGGATGCAGATCGAGAGCAAGATGAAATATGGGGTATCATGGAATGAGCTTAAATTATGCTAAGAGCAAATGCGGTAAAAGTTATAGACCAAAACAAAAATTGGAAGTGTCCTTACTGCAAAGATATACCCAACATTTTTTGCAACAAAAATCAACTCCTAGCACACGCCCATGAAGTTGGTTACAATGAAACTGTTGTCAATCTGAGTAAGGAATGTATTGGAGAGCATCGTGGTCTAGAAATCTATTTAAAATCGCTAAAATGAAAGCCTCGCATGTACTACTTTGCTATAATGGTGTACTACTTTGATAATTTTATGCATGTTCAAATTTGAATGGACTTTATGATTAAAAATCATTTGAAAACATTTATGCAAATTATGACTGAGGGCTCGGGACTTGGTCAATAACATCATTGTTCGCCATCCAGTGCAATATCGGTCGATATTAAGGGTTGCTAATCTCAGAAATTTTGACAATCATCATAGCCTAAAAGTAAAAAAGTCACCAATGTAAACTCGTGGCATGACAAACCAAAAGAACTAGGTAGATCACAAATAAAGTGGTTGAATGATAAATCCCTGAAATATGCACCCACTTCATTCACAGGTTTGAGAAAAAATATCATCAAAATGATGGTTTTGTATGTTGTCAGTAACCATATAATTTACCACATCAATAACCTCACACTTGTATGTTTAAAACCAAGTACCTACCCTAATGCATCCTACCTCTTCAATGAATAATTAACCGCAGTATCAAAATAAAAAAAAAGTTCAAATACAATAAGAAAACTATTGCGTGTCCCCATTTGATCAAAACATGCTTATATATATAAAAAACACACACATCAGCTCCAATAACTTAACATAAGCCTACAAAAGTAAAGTGCTAGTTTTCAACAAAGTATCAAGTAGACTCATAGTATTCATTGTCTTTTGCTAAGGTTTTTTGAGTTCTAAACTATAAGTAATACAAGTAGATATGCTTATATACAAACATTCCAAAGTAAATGAAAATGTCATTGAAATCACCGATGTTGATGTACTAGTGATCACACAGTCAGTTGGATCCAAGACAGGATAACTTCGATGAGGTAGAGGAGGTTGATGAAGGGATCGCCTTCTACTCCGACTTTATGTCTGGTTTTGAATATATTATGGTTGCTGATCAATCTGTACATGTAGAAACTCGCGAGAGGATGAGGATTAGTTCCCCCGTTGTGTCTTCGACGATCAAGTTAGTGGATAAACTTAAGTGGGGAAGAAGAACAGTAAGGGTTCTCCCTCTTTTTATTTTTGGACCCCCCCAAAGGCGAATAGTACATGTATATGTATTGCGGGAGAAGGGCAGATCGGACACTTTGACCAAGTACGAAGTAGTGATGGCGATGTATGGGCTATTGACTGTGTCAGCATCCACTTTACGGGTATTGGCAGGTGGTTAGAGGAGAGGTCATTTTAGCATTGGTGAGATCATCTCAGCATTGAATGGAGAGTAATTGGCGGCATGGCAGAGCTCATGTGATATGACAAGTCATGGAGACTATC